ATTTCCTCTGTTACGGGTTCCGTCTTTTCCAGGGCCCTTTCTTCTCTGGTTGAACATCCTGCACCAACCAGAAGCTACTGTTATTCTGCTGGTGAGAGCTGTAAGTCAGCAAAGGCAGGAAAGGAGGGGAGAAGAGGGGAGAGCAGCTTCCTACCATAACTGGAAAACACAGTTCCCTCCAAAGGCCAGGTCAGCATTCCCAGGGACCAGCCACAAATATGGTCCCGTCAACCTCTGACCTGTGGGTCTGTGAGGTTCTGAAAGTGGCCGGCGATGCCCCTAGTGGGCCAGATTGTGTGGCCTTTGCCAGGTCCAGGGGGAGTTTTGTAACAGGAGTTTCACCTCATCCTTTTAACATGCCAGGAGGGGCCCACAATGTCAGAAATTGTGGTTTAAAAAAATTAACAGAACCAGGATTGAATTTGAAATGGCTTACTTTTCTTTAGCTCACCAACAGTACTTTCCACTCCCATCTCAAACATGTCATAGTCATAGTAAACCTTGAGTAAAAGTCCATTCAAGGTGATATGATGGGCAGCCCGCTTAATTTACAAATTGAGAAATGATTTACCTGAGAAATCCACTTTTATGGACATTCAGATATTTTTAAATTAACACCAGAGTTGAGCTTGACTGAGGTACAGGCTAGCACAAATTATGAAGTATGGTGCAAACACACACATGCCACATACACATGCATGTCACACACACACACACACACACACACACACACACACACACACTCTCACACTCACACAACCACACCCACCCACCCACAGACACACACACACAGAGGCATTTTTTTGCATTTGGTTTAACAGGACATTAGGACATCCTGGAAGGGGAAGAGAAGCAGGAGAGCAAGTCAGCCAGAGAGGACAGCAGGGGCGGGAGAAATCGCCATCGCTAAGCAAAAAGGCTCCAGCCACAAGCGCACCCCCTTGGGCAGGTTGAGATTTTAAGGCAGCAACCGCCAAGGCCTCTCTGTCCATGCTGCCCTCCGTAGATTTGCAGGGTGTGTGCTGGAGCGGCCAGCAACGGGCCTGGTGGCCAGGGACCCGCCACCTCCAATATTTCTACTTCTGCTTCCTGAAGGATTTTTAAAATTTTTGCCCACAATTTTAAAAATCACTGTGTTAGCTATTACACTGCACTAACATGCAATGAAATAGCGGTGGGGGGGGATATTCTGATAAATAGTTTAGTCATTGGGGTGAGTTGCTTGTCAGGAAAGTGAGTCCCATTTCCAGATCTTGTCCCAAGAGACCAATGGAAACTTGTGCAAAACACTGGATGACCCTTGGGCTCCATTGCTTCATCTGTGAAAGGAGGGGGTTAGGTGGAGAAACTCAGCACTTTTCTGACTTTAGAGAGATTTAAGGAATCTATTTCAGTCTAGTCTGTGAGACAGGTAAAAAATACCTGGCCCCCGTTGGCAAAAATACGTGATTCATTTTTGAAGGAGCACATTTGTCTTAAGATTTTTTTTTAGAGGCAGAGTGTTTGATGACTTGGTAGAGAAAAAAAATACCCATAATTCCTAGGCATAATAGTCAATGAATATATTGAAATTAGAAAAATTCCAGGGATACACTCTTGTGCTGAAAATCCCCATTTATAATGGATTATAACTTTGTTATGGCAGAAATTTAAAAAATTATAGATAGACAAGACAGACAAACCAACGTAATGGAAAAGTACTGAGCTGCCAGAAGTACTGTTTGTTTGAATCATTTAAAAAAAAAGAAAAGAAAAAAACCCACCCAAGCCTCTTTAAAGGCCCTAGGTTAATCCCCTAGAGAAAACAAACATCTAAGTGCTTAAAGAATAAATCCTGGCCCAAACCCAATGATACAAAGTAAAAAGCAGGTAGATGAGGAAAAAACAGATTTGGAAAGTTTGTTTCCAGAACCTCCCAGCTTCAGGGGAGTCCCCAGCTCTCAGGTCAGGAATTTCTCTGCCTTCTCAAACCTCATTAAATAATCTGTGGTTTTCCCCCACTTCTAGAACTCTCCTTCAGCTTCCTGTTCCATTTAGTAGGAAAGGTAAATTTTATCTAAGATACATTCTGGGTAAATGCCTCTTTGGCCTTCTTCCCCAACTACCACAAAGCTCAGTACTTTTAAAAGAGCCTGCGGGAGGGGGGCAATTTGCCCCAGCCTCTGGTTGGGTCCTTACCTTAAGAAAACAAATTAATTTATTTTTTGAAAAGGTGGCGAGGAATAAAAAAATAGAACGGGAGGCAGAAGATAAAAGCAAAGTTTCCTTCAGGATTCTGTGGATCTCCTTGCTTTAAATTGAGAAGCTGCAAAAGTCAATTGCACCCTGAAGTGGTTTGGCCTTATTTTCCTAGGGCAATTTAACCCACTGGGCATAAACTACACAGGACACAGCGTCTGTCAACGCTCAGCCACTCGCTCTGGCCCAGCAACTCACCAAAGGTAGGTTCCCCGAGGCTGGATGGTGGCAGAGCTCCCAGGAGCCAGCGGAGTAATCAGGAACCACACACTTGACAGAAGAGCCACTTATGTAACCCACGCATACCCCACACATAGGCAAAGAAGCTAGTTTCAAACATTAAAGTTTGTGTTTTTTTAAAATATTTTTAAATTAAAAAAAATACCTCACCTTCACCACCAAGCCAATAGGACTCTTGTAGGAGGAAGTACCAAGGAAGCGGGGTTCCGTAGTCTCCTAAAGAATAGATAGGCAGATGAAGAGAAAACGCCCAAGTCATCCTGCCTTACTACAGCTCTGTACGATCTAGAATTTATCTATATGAACCTCAAATTTTCACCATAGATGTTTATAGTTCATAAGCCATTGCACAGCTATTCATGGCATACCAGAAAGACTACTCCTTCCAACATATTTTAATTCAAAAGGTCATTTTTTTGGGGGGTGGAACAAGCGACACTAAGACTGATGATCTTGGTTGACATTAGTTTTCTAAGAAAACGTTTGATTAAAGAATTTAATGAAGCCCCTTTCAACAATCACCAGATAATAATAATGATGATAACCACTGACTTTTGTTAGATGTCCTTTCTGTGTCAGGCATTACTGGAAGTGCTTTCCATGTGTTAAATAATTTAATCCTCAAATCAACCTTAGGAGATAGGTAATAGTAGTATTCTTGTGGATTAGGGAATGGAGGCACACTGAGTTTGAATCACCTGCCCAAGGTCACAGCTAATTGAATAGAGGCACAGGAATTATAACACGGGTGACCTGGTTCTGATATCACGGCTTTAAGCATCCCATTCTGCTGGAATGATCTGGTTTCCAAGGAAAAGACTGCCAGGTTTCTAGCCCAGTTCTCTTAGCAAGCTTTGCTCCCTGTAAAATGTTGATTTTGCGAGAACACTGTCTTTGCTTATTTAATAGTTACCCCATGTTTTATGGCCACTGCTGGACTGTCAGCTTCTCTGGGGCAGGCCTGGTTCTGTCTTTTCCACCCCTTTTCCCAGAACTTGGTGCTGAGCTAACACACAGATGCTGCTCAGTACATGGTTGCTAAACAAATTAAAGCTTTAGTTAGATTAAAATAAAGCTCTTTAATTATGCACAAATTTCAATCTCAATCCAACTAATTTTCACTTATTATATCTCCTTCTAATGGCCCAGTGAAAAAAATTGAGGCTGAGAAAGGTCAAATGTACTGCTCAAAGTCACTCACTGTTATGGGTTGAATTGTGCACACCCAACCCCCAAAATGATTACGTTGAGGTCGGTGGTAGAATACAAAATATACTTGGCCTTTGTCTTCAGTTTCTGGCATAGAGCTCCTAAAACTCTCAGACTTTCCTGAGTGATAGGAATGCCTTCTATTATTCATAACGAGCCCCTTTCTCAACCACACCTGAATTTATGCTAATGATGTGACTCTGTGGAGGCCCCCAGATAGCTTCTTGATGGGATCTGGTCACAGAGGAAAGACAGAAGTTGTGAAAAAAGGATGGGAACTTTTAGCCCCACCCCCTCCCACCTCTGGGAACAGGAGGGGGACAGGAGATCATATTGTAAAAACTTGAACAGGAAGATTCAGGGAGCTGTCATGATGCTGAGCACATCAAGGTGCCAGGTGGGCGATGCCCTTGGAGAGGGCAGGGAAGCAGCATGCACCACCACTCCTGTACCTCACCCTACACATCTCTGCCATTTGGCTGTTCCTGGGTAGTATTCTTTATTATAAAGTTGTAATTGCAAGTAGACCACTTTCCTGAGTTCTGTGAGTTGTTCCAGTGAATTATGAACCTGAGGGGTGTTGTGAGAACCTCTGAGTTTGTCGTCAGCTGAACAAAAGTGTGGGCAGCCTGGGCACCGACTGTGCAGCTGGCATCTGAAGTGAGAGCAGTTTTGTGGGACTGAGCCTGTGGGGTTGGCACTAATTTTGGGTAATTACTGTCAGAACCAAATTGAATTGATGGACACCAGTTGATACCAGAGAACTGGTTGGTGCTGGGAAAAATGAGACATTTGGTATCAGAAGTGGTATCAGAAAAAAAAAAGATGCCAGAGTCCTAACTCCTGGAACCTCAGAATTGTGGCCTTAGTTGGAAATAGAGTCGTTGCAGATGTGATTAGTGGAGATTAAATTATACTGGAGTAGGACAGGCCCCTAATCCGGTATGACTGGTGTCCTCATTAGAAGATGGCCATGTGAAGACAGACACACAGAGAAAACGCTATGTGAAGACGGGGAACTGGAGTGATGCATCTACAATCCAAGGAATGCCAAAGATTGCTGAAAATCCACCAGAAGCTAGGAAGAGGCAAGGAAGGGTCCTTCCTCCCCTTCAGGTTTCGGAGGGAGTGTGGCCCTGCCAACACCTTGATTTTGGACTTCTAGCCTCCAGAACTGTGAGACAATAAATTTCTGTTGTTTTAAGTCACAGTTTGTGATACTTTGTTATGGTAACCCTAGGAAACTAATATAGTCACACAACTAGGGTCCAAACCCTGGCCTCCAGACTCAGCCTAGTCATCTTTTTCCTATTCCAGGCTGACTGCCTACATATTTCTGCCAGCGAAGGCTGCCCTGAGATGATCTGAGAGCTGTGAGTTCATCCGTTTCCAGGGACCAGGCCCAGCCTCACTCTGCCCTGCCAGCTCCTGGCCACAGCGTCGAGAGCCAGGCCACGGACACCAGAGCACAAGGTGGCTGATAGTTGATGTGCAGCCCACTCAGATGGAGGTGGAACATCTCTAGCTACCAGGAAAGACTAATTTGAAGAGAATCTGATTTCCACAAAGCAAATCCAAAAATGTGCAAGCAGCCAATTTTGATTCAAGAGCTGATTTTCCATGCTGCCGATGAATCAGATATTTATCCACCAAAAGTCAGGCACTACTTTGAGCACTGAGGCTATAACATGGAAGAAAACAGGCCATGGGCCTGCTTTCATGGGCCCATGTCCTAGTAGGCATAGAGAGTCAATAAACAAACGCATAAAGAAATATCATGGTGATTTTAAAGAAAGTAGGCTAAGGGAACAGGAGCACTAAAAGAATGTTATTTGTATAGTGATTTAGACATTTCAGTCTGGAAAGATCTCAGTGATAAAATGACATCTGAACAGAGACCGAACCAAGTGAGGAAGCAAACCTGCAGAGGGTGTGTGTGTGTGTGTGTGTGTGTGTGTGTGTGTGTGTGTAGAAACATGCTCCAGGCAGTGAGAACAGCAGGTGCAAAGGTCCTGAGGAGGAAATGAACTGTCAGTAAGGAGGCTAGTGTGCCTGGAGCAGAGAAATACGGGGGAACAGGAAATGAGGAAGATGGTTGGAGGCTGATAATGAAGCATCTTGTAGGAGGGTTGGGACATTGGACTTTACTCTGAACAAGAAGAAATGCCAGTGGGAACTGAACAGAAGGTTGACACTGTCTGACTGAGATTCTGAAAGGATCTCTGAATACAGTGAAGAGAACAGACTGGTAGACGGTGATAATGGAAGAAGGAGGCTTGGGCTGAAAAGGTTGTGTGGAGGTGTGACCGGGGGTCAGGTTCTGGATCTATTTCTAATATGGAGCTAACAGAATCCACTGAAAGATTTTTGACTCCTGGATTTCAGTTTCAAATGTTGGTGCTGAGAGCCCAAACTAAAGCAGCTTAGAAAGGATGAGACTTAAACTAGATGGAAGGAGGAGAGCTGGGGATCCGAAGAACCCACATACCTTTACTCTATGAAGTGGGACGATTACCTGGAAACACCTGGTCAAGGTACCAGGCAAGCACGCCATACAGAACAGCATCAAGGAGCATCATCTTCATGGCCGTCAGGAAACTGAATTCATCCCCTTCCATGGGGCTGTTCCCGATATTACTCCACTGCAGCCCCAGGCCTTGCTCCTCAAAGCGAGCCAGGTACTCAGTGCCAAACCCGAATGCCACAGGAGACAGCAGGCTCTGCAGTGGGGCAAAGAGGGTGCCCAAGTTGAGCAGAGGGTTTCTAACCCGACCCAACAGCACTCAGAGGCTCACAAGGTGGGAAAGAGGGTCCAAAGGGGGTCCACGTTGTGTCCAGGTGTAAAGCCACCCCAGGGAGAGGTTAAGGCAGTCTTCCCACAGGAACACAATTCTAGGAATGCCTCTCAGGTTTCAGAGACCCCTGCCCACTATCCACTGGGCCACCTCTCACCTGTTCAAAGGAACACTGTTGTGCAATAGGGAGGAAAAATACAACACAGCATAGCACATTGAAGGACCAAAGGTCCTCATGGTCACCTACCTACCTTTCCCACTTCTTCCCACCTCTTTCTTAAGATCACACAGCTCTTGGCAGAACAAAGAAGCTAAGCTGAGATGCTTTGTGAGAATCCCATTAGAAGGGTCCACAAAGTCATCAGTTTCCTAGGGCAGGCAGGGTATGGTCTCATGACCTCCTGAGGTCTGTCAGAGAAGCCAGAAGAGCCTCAGATTACATTGACTATCACCTTTTCCCCATCTCCAGACTGGGAACGATCATTGTTTTAGGTTCTCTGTGGAGAGCACAGCTCAACTAAATCGGTAGTATGCAGAAAGATGTTGGAAGAGGCAGTTCCCCAGCCAAGTCCTCATGGGTGGCCCCTGACCTGACAGAAAGCACATAAGCACAGGCTGTTCCCATTTCCTCCACTCAGAGGCCTCCCCACAGTTTGGTGAACCCAGGGTGGGGTTCAGAGTGTCTCTCTGCAAAAAGAAGGGATTCTTGTAGCTATATGTTCACAAAAATCATTTTTTAAAACCTCAGCCCAGCCCTGGTCCACGGTTGCCAGAACTACTGCTTCCTGGTGGATCCACACGCCCGAGAAGTCCGCCGTGGCCTCAAAGGACTGGCGTCTACCTAGTGGACCAGATCGACCCGCTTTCCCCCAGGCCGCGGAAGGATTTCTTGCTACTAGCCCATTGTGATCATTTTAGAAAACTGGGTGCTATAAATAGCAGCAATTGGTTTCTTATTTAACACGAGAAATAAAAGGCAGATGCCCTGGCAGCTGTGGGGCCAAATAACTTGGAACGTGAGAACAACTTAGATCTTAGGTCTTTCCCTAACAAGAAGCTGGTGGTAGTCCTTTCTCGACTCCACCGCACAGAGGACTGTGGACAAGCTTCCACTGCAAGCCACAGGTTAATGAGAGGGTGGAAATGGCCTATTTGAAAACAATTCGAGAAAAAGACAGTGGTGTTTGGGAATCGTGAACTAAGGGGTCTGTCAGGCAATCAAAAGTCAATTTTTGGACACCTCCCCTGGCAAGAGGGCCTGACTCTAGACTGGCTCATTTTTGCACCCCTTTCTGCGTGCACTGGTAGGGCTGCCCCAACTAAAGTAAGTACTTTTGCAGAGAAACAAAAACGTTTAATTCATGAAAGCAGAGTAGTCATAGAATTAACTCATGGACAGAACAGTTAGTGGGGCAAGCTGCCTTCCTTCTGAATCTTCTCAAACGCTAAGAAAAGGAAACTGAGTGCAATGGGCCTGGATGTTTTCCTCTTGTGGATACACTAAGGGACCTATGAGCTGAACTGGTTTTCAGTGACTTCCCAGGACAGACTAATCAAGCAGGTTTGGTGATGAGGAGCCATCAGGTCACTCCCGCTTCTGCCCCTGTGCCTTTAACCTTACACCCCCTTGAGCCAAAAGGCAAAGTCCATCCCTTCACAGGGCGGGCCAGTCCTCTCGGATTACTACAGACCCCTCGGAGCAATTGTATCATGTGCCCGGGGTGAGCCCACAGCCCCTCACCACAGCCATCTTCAGGTCGGCCGTCATTCGGTCCTGCCAGGCGACGCAGAGAATGTGAGGCAGGTAGAGGGTAAAGTAGATGACACCACCACAGGCTGCTGCCAGGCTGGCCCTGGAGAAGAAGGTGCTGAGCAGGAAGCACTGCGTGATCGTAGCGGTGGAGAAAGCCAACAGGAACAGGAAGAGGATGAACGGGTCGCTGTAGTGTAGGATCCTTCCATGCTGAAACCAAAGAGGCCACTTGAGTCAGTCATTTCCACCCACATCCAGGGGCACCATCCCTCTCAGCGGGTGATCTCTGTGCACTGGTTCCGGGGCCCTCTGCCCTAGAGGGATCTCTCCCACCAGCTTGTTAGTTGTGCCTAAATTTTCACACATAAGACTCAACATGTTGGGTTCCTTAAATCCTATTAATGTCATTTCCCCTAGGAGGGTGATGCATGATAAGTACCAAATAATTATTATGTGTTAAGTAAGCAAATTATTGGTGGGATTTGAGCAAAGGAGGAAGATCTGTATAGGGGGTCTTGGAGCATCAACAGCTCTTGGATATACTGAATAGATGAGGAACAAAAGGGGAGATAGGAGACTACCCAACAAGCTTTAACATTCTCCCGGGGCCTGGCCTGCTGATTCAGTCATTTGCGCTTGCATTCTGAGATTTGCCATTCACATAGGTGAAAATATCAGTAATGAAACCACATTACTTGAAGTGGGTTAATCTTCCCATCCATAATATCATACAAATACCATAAAATCCATGAGTAATACTCAGTATCTATCACATTAACTAATGACTCAATCACTTTGGCTATGTAGAAAATAGGACTAAACTAGCTATTTTTAATGTACTGCTGCCAAATGACATTATAGAATAAGCTGAGATGTTCAAATTGATTAGGCCTTCTAGGTTCTCCCTTACTATGGAGTCCTCTGAGGAACATATAGGTCACCCTGTTCTTGGGACATAAAAGTACAAATAAGTTTCATCTCTTGAATTGGTTCTGATTAATTGCTAGTGGTGCCCTGCAGCATGGGTTCTTCTTGGCTCAAAAGAAAGACCAATTAGTGCCGGCCGTGTGGCACGTTGGTTAAGAGTTGGCTTGGGAGCACCGGCTCTGAGCAGCAGGGGCCCAGTTCGGATCCCACATG